AAAGCAATCACTTGGAACCTAAAGATAAATGTCTCTAAGTCCTTCAGATCCTAAAGGTCATCTCACTAAACTCAAGATAGTTTTTCATATGCCTGCATGAGACTTCTTAGCATGCATGTTTATAGACATTACACATGTATATAATTGATAAAATCATGGGTGATTCATAGTACTTTTCTATGTATTAGGATACATAACTCACAAACATATGACTTTGTCATACGCATACATCTCATAAATTATGGTAATTTACAAGTAACTGATTGTCATATTGTCATAAACTAGTAGTGAGTCCTCAAAAATTGTATTGTTCTTACAAGAAAGCACAAAAAGTTTAGTGTAGTGGGTAGCTGTTCCAGCTTTGACCTGGAAGTACTACCCCCATTGAGGCTTGGGTAACTGTCATGCCCACAAGGTGGGGCCAAGACAGGAGCCCTGAAGATCCGAGATCCGGATGTGCCGGCTCTCTTGGTTCCTGGATCCTGGACGCTGGAGGTAGACCGAGCAGAGTTCTCCAGAGAACACCGCTGGACTGCGCTACACCTTTCCCAGATCCTGTAACCTATCCCTTTACTAGTAAGTTACCCCACAAAATAAACCTCCCTTTTAACTATTTGGAGCTGCCTTAATACTACAGCCAATAGTTTAGAGACCACAGCTCTGGAGACTACAGAACTGAGCATGTGTGCTCAATATTCACAGGTATAAGAAAGAAACTGGAGGGCTGACAAAAATGGCTCAGCAGGAAAACCTGATGACCCAAGTGTGATCCCCAGATTCCACTCCTCAAAGTTCTCTTCTAACCTGTCTGCACACCTTAGAATGCACATACTTATACATACATGCACGTGTGCGCATGCGCACACACACACACCCTGGAGATTTCGTATAGGACTAGACCCCACCATCCTATACTCCATGAGAAATACCCCATGCTGATGCCCACTTGTGCTGCCAAGTACCTTATAGAAATGCCGTACAAGGTGGACACTCTCTTCTCTTGCACCCTGTAAAAAAAGAAGGAAGATGTGAGGGATGCAAATCTGAGGTGAAATGGTGGGTGACTCAATTACACAGAAGAATAGGTTATTGAATACAGCTATGTCTTCACTTTAATAAAACACAAAGTTATTTCACCAGTGTGTAATTATATATGTGTAGGTGTGGATCAGAACAGACACATCCAAAGGTAAAACCCTCAACTGTTCTTTTTCACCTCTGCATTGCCTATATTTTCTAAAAATCATGAAGGGGAACAAAAAAATGATAAAAGATACTGAGAACCTAGTAAATGTGTTATTTTAGCAGACACACACACACACACACACACCCCAAAACAAAAAAAAAAAAAACAAAACACCCAACACTGTAGGTAGTTATGTCTCTACATGTATAAAATCTTTGTCACACAAAAGGAACATTTGAAAACTCCCAGAGCTAATCCAGAAGCAGATTATTCCAAAAGAAGCTACTGCAATGGAAGACTGTGGTCTGGATAGAGGAAGGCACCTCTGGACATGTGGGCTAGAGCAGGACCTTGGGGTGGGGTCCCAGGTGTCTTAGGCCCAGCCTCTCGGAGCTATATATACTAGGGATGCTGTGGGACAGGCAGTGCCAGCAGCCTCCTAACTAACTTCCTCAGCCGAGGGACAGCACAGGAAGGGAAGGCGAAGGCATGGACTCACCTCCAGACAGGCCAGATGCACATCCTTGATGATGCAGCCAGAGCTGGTCAGTACTTGCTGCTTCAGGAGCAGGCAGCTCAGCTCCAGTGTGGCTAAACGAATCCTGCCATCTGCAGAGCACACCAGGGTCAGCCCAGTGCCTCAGAGCCCAGTGCCCACCCCAGACACAGAGATCATCTTAGAACCCCCAGAGCCCAGTGCCCATGCCGGACACAGAGGTCATCTCAGTATCCCAGAGCCCAGTGCCCATACCGAACACAGAGGTCAGCCCAGTACCCCAGAGCCCAGTGCCTTCCCCAGACACATGAGGTCAGCCCAGTGTCCACCCCAGAGTCCAGTGCCCACCTCAGACATAAGAGGTCAGCCCAGTACCACTGAGCCCAGTGCCCACCCCAGACACAGGCTCTTGCTCTCCTTTTTGAGGATGATCATCACCTGACAGACAGTCTTGCCCAAGGGCTCTCATGTCCAGGGAGACCCAGAGGGAGCTACACATGTCAACCCTCTTCCCATTAAGTTACAAGTCAACACTCCCTGTCAAGCCTTTCAGCTCCCATCTGTCCTGAAGTCCCTTTATCAGCTGAGAAGGTGAGTGAAGGCAGGAGGCTGTGCTGCAGCTGTGCCTGTTCATACAGGTACAAAACCAGCATCCCACTCTAGATCATGTGACTCAGTGGAGCTGGGTCTTCTCTCACTTCTAGAAGGAACATACTACCTGTTTTTGCTGGCCATGTTCATCCTGGACCTCCCCTCTGCTGCTTTCTCCCTTATATCTACAATAAAAATCTTCTCTGTGCTTTAGGAGTAGTCAAGAAAGAAAAGTCCTCCTCCTTTTATTTCCCATTTTCATTTACCACCCAAGCTTGTGTGCCTTAGGTGCTCGCACCCCTGCTCAAAGGGATCAGGTGCCAATAGGCAAAGGGGCCCAGTAGAGCCAGTGAGGCTCAATTTTACAGTGTGCCAGAAATGCTGGGCACAGGCTCTCCATGTTCTGGGGTGTGCCAAGGGCAGGAACACTGGTGGGACCTGAATGGACAGGGTGATAACCAGCATTGGTCACCTCCATTCCCTTGCTGACCCTGTCAGTCTTCCTAAAGTGTCCCTCCCATGTGGCTTGAGCACACTGGGTGTTTGTAGAGATTTCCTCCTGGGGGTGTTCACATAGCACCAGGCTCCAGGCCTAGGTGCTAGCAGGCGAGCACAGCATGAAGCTCATCCAAACTTGCTCACAGTTAATAGAAACCCAACCCAGACTAGCTTACACTATACAAGCAGAAACTGACAGACAAGCAAACGTAAACACAACGCTGACTTATAAAATCTGTTAGGGTAATGGGGGATGGGGAGGCACTGGTTTTAGGCACAGCTGAGGCCAGGGTCTCAAATAATGTTTTCAGGACTCTATGTTACTTTCTGGGTTGGAAAGGTATGCTACTGGAAGCCCTCTCTTTCCTCCTAGGGAAGACAGCCACCCCCCAACATAAGGCCAACTACTGTTAAGAAACTGTCCCATGGGTCTTTGCACATTCTTCCTAAGGAAAGGTGGAAGTGAAGAACAAGAATGAGGGAGCAGAAAGTCTCTGGGTCTTGTCCCTGAAGTCTAAGACACTGGAGCCCAAGCTGGGACACACCAGGGACATACCCCAGACACCAACCCTTTTGCTAATGCCCTGTAGGTGAGGTTGAAACAGATGAGAAGAAAAATTTGTGCTTAGTTATATACACACAAAGCAGGTATTGCTTAGCATGATAAAAGCCTAGGGAAGGTTGGTCCCTGCTCACTTAGGCAGCCCCAACCCCACCCACTCCAGACCTTCCATCCCCTCTTTACTCTGAGATCTATGTGCCTATCCAGAGCAGTCTTACGCCCTCTGCTGGCCAGCAAGCTCCTGCCTTCCAAGTTCCAGCCACAGTTGACCCTATCCTTGGCCACAGCACAGCTCTCTCAATGCCCTGACCCATGTGGCTCCCACTGGTCCCTGGCAAAGTTTGACCCTGACCCCAGCCTCAGAAAAGGCCCTGCCTCCTTTAAATGGAGCTCTCAGCAATAACTGACCCCAATGAGTACCCAATGTCCCGAGTCACACCCTGTGTCCCTTTTCTCCTGGCTCAGGGTCCTGAGCTGTCTCTTCTCCATTGCCACTTCTAGATAGGAGCAGTTGTCTCAAGGGCTCAATCCATGACACCCTTTTCTCTTCATCTAGACCTTTACAGACCATGTATGTTGGGCCCCAGTGCTGGCCTTGTCCTGACCTCTTCTCTGAGTGGAAGACCCCCATCTCTATAGTCTATAGCTTCTGGGATGATTGAAGACCATCAGCTGTGGCTCTTGGCTGGTATGTAGGATGTAATCAGAAAGCATCTGTTCTGTGGATAACTGCTATGCTACCTGCTGTCACCCGGAGGCCAATGACCTGGCTTTCCAGGTCCTTCTCCCACTTGCTAGCACAGCCACACACTACTCCAGTCACTGCTTGACCAACTCTGGTCGACCTGATCCAGGCTTACCATACCAGGCTGCTCTGACCATACTCCTCCTCCCTGGGCACGCAGGTGGCCAGATTGTCTCCCATGCATTCACTCATTCTAGTAACCTTTCTCCTGTCTCTGCAGAGGACTTGCCATGCAACTGTTGACATTCCAGGCCAAATACCTCTGTGCTATACAGGTCCTGTGCACCTGAGATACTTAGCAGTGCCCTAGACTTTTACCAACTGGAGGCCAGGAACATTCTTAGTTATTAAGCTCAAAATGTCTGCAGCCAATGTCACATACATCCTGGAGGAAAAAGATCCCAGCTGGGAAAGCCTTGCCCAGAGCTTCACTCCACTGCTATCACTGCCTTAGTCACCTGGCTGCAGATGGGTGCTGGGTCAAACCACTGGAGACACCGGGCACAAACCTGTTGCCCTCACTCAGATTCTTAGCCTCGTTCCTTCCACAGTATGGCCTTGGGCTTCCTAGAGGAGGGTCCTAGCTGTGACAAGAGCAGCAGGAGAAAGGCTGGTGCATCGGGAGAAAGAGAGGTGACTACAACCAGGGTGGGGACAGCCCCAGAGAGAAACAGACGGCAGATGCTGGTTGGTGGTTAGGGGCAAAAGAAAGCGCTGGGGGTTTTCCAGATCCAGAACCTAGGGCTCACAGTGCCTGGCTAGGGATCTAGTCCCTCTAACACTCCTCAGCTAGGAGTACCTGGTTGGGCGGCATTATTCATGATTCTGATGAGTCTCTCAGCCAGCAGATGGTTGTAGGTGGTTTTCTCAGCTGCACTTGGCACTGGGAGCTGGATTCGCTCTAGTTTTTCAGGATCCATGCCTGCAATGGAGAAAGAAGAAAAGCGGCCATTGCAGGCAGAGCTTTCTTCCTAAAGACCTTTGCAGACAGAGTCCTCACTGTCAGCCTAGGTCCCTCTGTGAAGTCAGGCCTAGGCACTGCCTTCGGATAGCCTCTGTCTGGGCTCTGCACACACTGAACATGCAGAGATACATACATACATTTTCTGGTGGTGGAGAGATGGCTCTGCTGGTAAAGTGCCCAAGTTCAGTCCCCAGAAGCCATGTACGGTATGTGGCACATACTGCAGTTCTAGCACTGGGGAGACCCTGGGGGCTCACTGGCCAGATAGCCTAGCCCAATCGGTGAGCTCCAGGCCAGCAGGAGACCTGGTCACAAAAAACAGGGGGATGGTGCCTAAGGAACACCCAAGGTTGTCTTCTAGCCTCCAAACACATGCATACACACACATGCATGTGTGCATGTGCGCACAAGCGCGCGCACGCGCGCGCGCGCGCACACACACACACACACACACACACACACACACACACACAACCATACAACATATATTCTCTACTGCTATTTGTGAATGGGGCATCAACTTGCTGTGAGAATTAAAGTAACTATGAAAGCCAGATGGAACAGTGTTCTCACATTCTAGCCAATGACTGTTGACTGAACTCACTGTGGCCCGAGGCCTGCTCTTTCTCTATTAGAAACAAGGGCTGGCAGGCACGGAGCAGGTGCCAGTGGTGCCATCTCTGATAGATGAAGCAGAAGCCAGCAAGGGATAGCTTCCCACGGAGCAACTCATTGCTGTTCTCTGCCATATCTGTGTGCTCACACAAGGGCAGTTCCGTGGTGGGCACTTCCTACCCCTGTAGACACACAGACCCAGAGAATCAGAGATGAGACACATGAGGCCCCAACAGCCACAGCCTTAAGCTCTCACTGGTGAACTCAAAGAGTTGAGTGGGATGCCTGACACATGTTGGCAGCAGATTCTGGGCTGAGTAGGGCAGATGCCAGTCCTGTCCCTGAGGAGTAGATCAGCAGAGAGAGGCTAAATTAAAACCTTTAGCCTAGGCAGGTGCACAAATAATAAAACTCATAAAGTGAATCTATCCCTAAGACACAAAGGAATTATTTTTTCCTCAGGGGAAATGAATAGTATTTAATAAAAGACAAAAGAAAGGGCGAAGTGGAGGGTGGATAAGGAAAGGGAATGGGCAAGTCTGTAGCCACAGGCCATGATGTTATTTTTCCTAAAGAAGTGCCAGGAACCGGGATGGCAGGAAGACCTGCCAGTGCTGCTACAATGGTCCAGGCCTGAGGCAGGGCTCTGCTAACTCCTATCCTCTCATCTGACACAGTGCTTGAGAAATACTTGCAGAAATAAACATAGTGCTTGACCCAAGCATGGAGACCCCTGTGCACTGTTTATGCTTTGAAGCAAAGCTTTTCCTGTTATTCTAGTTGGGGGAGGTGGCACTTCTCAGAACTCTTGAAATAGGGTCTCTTGAGTACCAGGTGGGGCTTCATCTCAAATCTTGACAAAACAGTAGAGGTGGCACAGAGGAGTTCCCAAGGAATCCCTGCTGGGTACACAGCACAGATGCCATAAAGCAGTGCTCTGTTTTGCTGAAATGACTTGGCCTGAGCGTTGTTGTGTAAGACTCTCACACCCACAGAGTGGCTTTGAAGCTGAACTTGTAGATTCTGCATCTTGATGCCAAGTGTCTGACTTGGAAGAACTCTGGCTTACATGGCAAAAATGGCAACTCAATCTTTTTGGCCTTTCCTTTCCTAGAGGTATCAATCCTGTCCCAACATCCCTCCTTCCTTCCACTTGAGGGGTGGGACACGTAGGGCAGGACTGCTGCTCTGTTGCTCTGAGCAAAAATCTAGCTGCTATCCCTCCCTAGCACACCTGCACTTGCGCCATACCATCAGCTCCTCCAGTTCACAGAGGACAGCAACAAGCCAGGAAGTGGAGTTCCCCCAAATGTAGGCAAGCTGGAGCCAGGGCTTGCATTTCCATAGGGAGGCCCTTTGCTTCTTTCCTGAGATTGCCCTAGCTTTCCTTAGACTTTCTGGAACATGAAGAAATCTGGAGCAAAATCTTCTGGAGACAGAAAGAAACCCCTGAAGTCTCTTTGAGCCCTGAATCCCTCACTCTGGGCCACAGAGCAGGTTGAGCCCCCTGCCTTTGGTGAAGAAATTGAGGCTCAATGTGATTCTCCGTGGTTTCTCAAGGTCATAGAGCAAGTTGGAGGCACAGTGGCACCACCTTTAGATGACTCCAGAGGTATCTGAGATCGAGTTAGGGAGGGGTGGTGGCACCACTCACATGGGGAGCTCACTATGAAAGCCACATTCAAGGGCTGTGCATTCCAGGGCTCAGCAACAGTCACCACCTCCAACCAATCAAAAGCTCAAATTCTATAGGGAAAGATGGTATTTTCTGGAGGAAGGGTAGGATCCTATTGTAAAGACATTCCTCTAGTGCCTGCACAGGAAAAACAATGAATAAAAAAGTAAGTCTTCAGAATGTGAGCTCAAAGAAGAAGCCTGCCCAAGGCCACAGAGGTAACAAAAACCCAGAGCCAACTCCATCTTCTGCCTTTCTGTCCCATTTCACAAGATCCTTGCTCGTCAGTTCTTCCCTCTACCTGCCCCAAGTATGTGTGTCATGCTCTTTAGCAGAGTTCTCAACACAAAGTTCACTGGACTAGATCTTAATGGAGTTAACTTTTTTATTTTTGAAAAGGGTCTCACATGTACCCTCAGACTGACCTACAACTCTTTACAGCTGGCCTCTCTCAAACCTTCCTGAGCATAGTAGGTAGGGATTACAGTTATGTGCCACCATACTCACTGAATTAACTCATTTTATTATTTAAAAATTTTAATTGTATTTATTTATGGGGGCATAGGTATGGTGGGCAGAGGACAATCTATGAAAGTTGGTTCTCTCCCTCTACTATGTAGGTTCCTTGACAATCAAATTTAGGTTGTCAAGCTTGACAGCAAGTACCTTCACTTGCTGAATCACCTTGCCAGATTTACTTTTAATCAAATCTGGCCCACTACAAACAAAACAAAAACAAAAACACAACCAAAGAAACAAAAAAGTTCTGCAGTATGACAACTGAATAGAAGAAAAAGTTATCACAGGAGCAGCTGGAGGAGCTGAAGACTGTTCAAGCACAGGCCAAGAGACAGAAGCCTGGATTTATTTTTGCTTTTTTTGTGACAAGCAGCACATCATCACTACTAGCATTCTTTGGAAGCGAGTGTGTAGAGAAGCACTTGATTTGGGTTTTGTAACTACCTGACTGAAAGAAAATACTGCCTGATAGTAGTGAAGAAATAAGGGCTAGGATGGTTCACCTTCCGTCTGCTTCACTAGATTTGGAATTACATAGGAGACAAGATGTGGGTGTGTCTGGAGGGTGCTTCCATGGAGGCTTAACAGAGGAGGAAGACCCTCCTCGAATGTATCACTCTGCTTCCGGACTGAGTTTACCATGTGACTCACTGTTTCATGGTCCACTCACAATGGACTGCATCCCTTCTAAACCATGACCCAAGTCAATCCTTCTTCCCTTTCACTGTTTTTGTCAATGTTACAACATGACAGGGACATGCATGTAAAAGGTAAGATGGCAACAGGTGTGACACACATGCACTGTGGCTTTCAGTTACAGAAAGGCAGGTTCTGTGGCAAATACATGACAGCTTCTTTGCCAGTCATTTTCAACTGTCTGAAGTAAGCCTCTGGAATAATATATTGTCCTATGTGCTCAAGTCTTAAGTGCCCTGAGACAATTTCCAAAGGTACTGTCACATGCAGCACACAGCCCATTGAGATCTGTCTCCCAGCAGGCCATGTGCTTCCTCATTTCCTTCCTGCCCATAGTCAGGATGGAGTGGGGGTAAAGGAACTCAAGGTCACAGCCTAGCCTGGTCCAAAGAGTCCATACAGGTGTGGAGTGTGTCACTTCCAATGAACTAATTCAAAGAACCCGGAAGAGAAAGGAAAGGCATGGTTCCACACTGCAACTAGTGACTAAACCTCCCTCCCAACTTTGATTTTTAGATTCTTCCTTCTTAGCTGCAGTGCACACTCATGTCAAGGGTGGAAGACACACTTAGTAAAGTGATATAAAGGTAGGAGTGGAGACCTGACTGAAGACAGTTTTCTATTTCTTGTGGCCACAGGTCCTCTCTGGCTGTACCTGCAGGCATTGCCCCGCTCTGAGGGCTAAGTAGATGCTAGGTCAGTTTCCAACATGCTTCCTGCGCTGAGCTTGTGTCAGCTGCCGTCTGTTGTTGTTTGCCCGCCACTTCTCACCCCCAGAGCCTTGTCACCTACTTTTTAGCGTTCCCATACCTCTTGCGGTGTTCCAGGAACTTCTCAATAAAACAAAACAAGTCCCAAAGCCCAAGTGCCTCCTGGGTACAGTGGGGGCTGGGGAGGACAATGAGTGAACTTGAGAGGCGTAGGAATACAGAGCTGCTCAACGCACAGCCTCCGCTCAGACTTGACCAAAAGCGCAGATCCTAACCAGAATTCATTATGTGGCCAGCTGAATCATGACACCGCTTTCCTCATCAGGCAACCCTTCCCACTGTGGGCTGCTCGGTTCAGTGCAGTATCTCATCTATTAAGATTTACTGGAAGGCCTGAGCTCACATTTGGTTTCTATTAACAAGGCTTTTAGGCTGAAATTGTCTTATAAGGGAAAAAATATCTACTAAGAAGAGAGTATCTTGTTCAGGGCCTGCTTCAGGGGAAAGGATATGGAAAAGAGAAGCTGGAATCAAGTGTAATAACCAGAGAGGATGCTGCCTGGGCCAGGGCCTTGGTCTGCCTGGTGTCTGTACCTAGAGCAACAAATGCCAGGCTAAGTGCATTGCTTAGCACACATGTTCTGCATGTGTTGGTTTCAATAACTCCCTGAGGAAACTGTTTATGAACTTCTTAAAAATTTTTTGTAAGTTCATGACTTTTTTTTTTTTTTCAAGACAGGGTT